TGAGTTTAAGCCCCCGGGTCTGGGACTTCAACTGCGGTTGACTACATGGGAGTCCAGCGAATAGCCATTGTGCCAGCTGCTGGTCCCCACACCACATAAATCTTAAACCAGCCAAACAGTTATTTCTAGGACCATTGCCTCTCTGTGACATTTAAAACAGAAACAAACAGAAACGCCTGTGTCCCCCCTTTCCCAGCTCTTGCTTTGCTGGTGTTCCCTGGTGTCTGTCATGGAAGCGTGCTCCTGTTCCAGTGCCCCCCGCCCCCCTCCTTCCCGTCTCTCTCCCCCTCCCTTCCTACCTCTCTGCCTCTCTCTCCCTCTGCTCCTCTCTCCTGCCACCCCTCTCTGCCCCTCCTGCCCTCCCAGTGCAGCATAATCTGGGCTTTCCATCTTCATCCTAGGCCTTTGAGAACACCCTGAAGTCCTGGGAGGACAACCAGAAGTGCGAGCTGCCCCGCCCGCCTCCGTTCTCGCTGCACCCGGAGATCCTGTCGGAGGAGGAGGCCACGCAGATGGACCAGTTCGGGCAGGCGGCGGGGGTGCACATCCACAGGTGGGCCCCTGTGTTCCCGATGGCTGCATCTGCCTCGTCCACGAGGAAGGACCAAGGTGGAGGCCCGACACCCTCAGAGCCGCACATGGGCTGTGAGACCTGCCCCGTCCCTAGGCACAGCCGCCACCTCCGCCCCGGCCTTCGTGCGTCAGGGAGTAGCTCCACCTGCCCGAGTCGGGACAGCAGGGCAGCAGGACAGCTCTGGCACGGGAGATGCTGCCCTTGCCAGCTTTGAGGGCGGCCCCCAGAGCCTTGGTGGCCTGCAGTGGGCACAGCGGTCCACACTGAGCACCACGTCCCCACCTGCCTGTGCCCCCGCCCTCAGTGCCCCCGCAGGCTGCACTCAGCTTGCTGCCCCGACCCTCTCTGGCCCTGCCCCTCGGCGCTCTCCCCCCACCCCTGCCGAGGCCTGGTTCTCCTGCCTGCCTGGCCCTCGGCACTCTCCGTTCCCGGAGGCCACACGCCGGGTGCTCCTGCCCACCTAGTGCTGCCCTGCTCTCCCCAGCGTCCTCTTCAGACTGGCCCTGGGTGCTGGTGGCCCTGAGAGGTGCCCTCTCTCAGGGGCAGTCCTGCCTGGGCCCAGCTTGTGACTGGGTGGCCTTGTCCACTCCTTGGCACTAGGCTCTTCCTGGTAGCTTGGCCACCCCTCAGGCCCTATGGGTGTTTTGGCTGGAGTCCCACTCCCAGGTCAGCAGAGCAACTGGGCGGCCTCACTCCAAGTCCTCACTGTGTAGTGGGCTTGCAGCGACCCCTCAAGGCCCTGGTGGTCCCAGCAGCCTGCCGGGAGGCATGCTTGCCACATGCAAGCTTCTTGGAGCGGGACCTGTTTTCTTCAGGGTCAGGCCTCTGCCCGCCCTGCCTCTCGTCCCTGTCACGCCTGCCTAGCTTCTCTGGAACCCCTGGACTGTGCTCTCACTGTCTGCCCTTGGGGCTGTCATCTGGGTTGTAGGCTGGGTTCCGGCTCAGTGCCACTGTGACGCTGATGGTCCCCTCCTCTTTAGAGGTGGGTCCTCGCATCCCTAGGGAGAGAGCCGCCAGGTGCAGGTTCTGGGAGGGTGCTGGCCCGTCTGTGGTCTGCGTGGGTGCCCTAGGAGCTGCTGGTGTGCTGCTGTGGGGTGTCCGTGCAGGGCCTGCCCGCTGCCCGCTGCCAGGGTGTGAGCGGTGCTTTGTGTGCGCGGTTCTGCGGAGAGACCCGCTCTTGCTGTCGGGGTCACCGTTTAAGCCCTCCTGCTTGCCCGCAGGGCCTTCCTGCTCCAGAGGCTGTGGCTGTGACAGTGACAGCCCTGCACCCC